TGTCTCTAAATAAAATATAAAAAAGGGTGGGGATGGGGCTCAGTAATTGAGCACTCCTGGGTTCAATCCCCAGTACCAAAAAAAAAAAAAGGATAACTTAAACACTAATTTATTCCATTTTCAAGGGGGAGTTAAAATGATATCTCTAAGAAAAGATACTTGAACCTTTTAAAGACCTAAACAATACAAGAAAGAAAAATTTYAAGCAATAAACTAGGATCAGTCTCTCCTCAAATTTGACTGAAATTAAATAACTGTATGAGTCCTGGGCAGACGTGCAGTTATTTAATTTCAGTCCAAACCTGGGCTGCACAGGACTGATGTTATATCCCCTGTATAAGGGCGTGGCAGAGCATCCTCAGGACAATTGGCTGTCAGTCATCTACCAGGCAGGCAGACAGTGGCCTGCCTGCCTTCCCTTCATACAAGAGTCCGGCCTTCAGAGCTCTTCTGTCCTGCACCTTCATCTTGCCTTCTCAGATTTGGTCTTATCTAATGGTTTCTGGACTTTGAGCTTTTTAATTTGTGGAAACCATTTCTTCAAAAAAAAAAAAAATACTCATTCACAAAGTTGTAAATTTGTCTGGATGGAGAAGCAGCCCAGGGAGGATGGGTGAGCCATCGAGGTCCCCTCTTCACCAAGAGACCATCAGGCACCCACTGATGACCCACTCCAGGCCAGTCAGCCTACAGGCCTCAGGCTTAATGACAACAAGGGCTGTCAGTAAGGAGGCCACGCCAGCTCCTCACAAAACGCTTTACAGGTCTCTCCCATTACTTCTTGTTCTGGTGTGGGTGGGAGGTGCCCCCAAAAGCTCACGTGTGAGACGGTGCAGGAAGGTCCAGAGGAGACATGACTGGGTKGTGAGAGCCTTAACCCAACCAGTGAATGGACCCCTGATGGGATTARCTGGGTGGTGGCTGGAGGAGGTGGGTGTGGCTGGAGGAGGGGGCATTGGGGGCGTGGCTTTGGGGTCTCTATTTGTCTCTGGAGAGTGGAGTCTCTCTCTGCTTCCTGGTCACCATGTGAGCTGCTTCCCTCCACCACACTCTTCCTCCATGATGTCCTACCTCCCCTCGAGCCCCGAGGAATGGAGCCTGCTGTCTATGGACTGAGAACCCTGAAACCCTGAGCCCCCAGATAAACCTTTCCTCCTCTTCTGGTTGGTCCTTTAGTCACAATAGCAAAAATGCTTGAGTAAAACACTCCTATCAGACCCATGAAATTAGTATTATGAACAAGTCTTCTCCACCAAGTTGACAAGGGAACTTAGAAAAAGATAGATAATGCCCAGCATGGTGGCAYAGGCCTGTGATCCCAGCAGCTCAGGAGGCTGAGGCAGGAGGATCTGAGTTCAAAGCCAGCCTCAGCAACTTAGCGAGGCCCTAAGCAACTCAGTGAGACCCTGTCTCTAAATTAAATATCAAAAGGACTGGAGATGGGGCTCAGTGGTTAAGCGTTCTTGGGTTCAATCACCGGCACCAAAAAACAAACAAATAAACAACCACCACCAAAAATCCCCCAAAGGGTCTAACTTGCCCAGGACAGCAGCAACCTAGTACGTATCAGAGTCAAGGCCAAGTCCAGGCACACCATCACCCTGTGCTGGCTGTCCCACTGTCCAATGCTGATTTGCTTGAACTCTGGGTGTCATTCAGGGGCCGAGCTTGCCACGCATCCCCCTGACTTTTCACCCACTCACCCTCCCGCGGTGAGATGCCAAGCCTGGCGACTTACAAGGCACAGCGTGGCGGTAGAGGTTATCTCTTATGGTCTGCTGCAGCTCGTGATCCGGGGACCCTTTCTGGAACCGTTGATTCAGAAAATGCCGCAGGTCCTTGTGGAGCCTCCCTCCTGCAGGACGTGGATAAAACAGAGGCCGTCAACAAGAAGTCTTCCTGGAGAAGGAGCCCCCAGGACTGYGGGGCAGAGCCACCCACAGGGACGCCAGGGCCCGTCCCTCTCAGTCATCCCTGTGCATAGGTTTCCCTGTGCAGGGGAGGGACAGGCGGGAATGTCAGAAAGGAAGAACAGCTGGGGACAGGCTACCCTGGGGGCCCATCCAACAGACTGACTCCGTGAAGGCAAAAATATCCAAGAGCCGAATCTGGGGCATTCCACTTCAAATCTGTGCCCTATCTACACGGGGTGGGAGAGTGAGTGGCCAAAAGTCTCCAAGAAGACGATCTGGCAATAACTACCAAGTGGCATCATGTTCTTCCGCCCGGATCCAGCTGGTAGGAAATGACCCTAAGGAAAGGTTGGGAAAGTGGGCTCACATCTCTACTATGATTTACTACGGTGTTTCTGAAACAGTAAATAAAGGCAGAAATCTGGAGAGAACCAAGCACACCTCAGCTGTATAATAACCACTTAAGTTAGATCTTATGTGCTGGTAGTAGGAGGAAATATGTAGAATACCACAAACTGTCTGATGCCCTTTTTTCAAAAGGAAGTTTTAAAAGAATAAACACAGCCYGGTGCAGTGGCCCACGCCTGTCATCCCAGCAGCTCCGGAGGCTGAGGCAGGAGGATTGAGAGTTCTAAGCCAGCCTCAGCAAAAGTGAGGTGCTGAGCAACTCAGTGAGACCCTGTCTGTAAATGAAGAGTCCCTGAGTTCAACCCCCCGTACAAAAAGAAAGAAGAAAAGATACCTGAACTACTAACACATACAATGATACTGATAAATCCCCAGCATATAATGTTAAGCAAAAGAAGTCAAACATGAAAGAGAACATATAAATTTTCAGAATATGTTAAACTAATTTGTTGCAACAACAACAACAAAAAATGCTTCCATGTGTTCCTGGAGTGGAGACAGAGTATCTGCAGAGGAGCATGAGGGGATAAATTCTATGAAGCACTGGAGATTATCATGGGAGATATTTGATAAGGGGTACACTGAATAGCTTTGTGGTATTTTACAACATCCTGTGACTCGATAATAATTTCAGAATAAGTTTTTTGGGGTGTTGGTACTGAGAATTGAACCCAAGTGTGCTTTACCACTGAGGTACATCCCCAATAACTTTTTTATTTTGTGACAAGATCTCACTAAGTTGCTGAGGGTCTTGTTCAATTGCTGAGGGTGGCCTCAAATTTGCAATCCTCCTGTCTCAGCCTCCCAAGTTGCTGGGATGACTGGTCTGCGTGACCATGCCCACTTCAAAGAATGCACATATGGGCTGGGGATATATAGCTCCGTTGGCAGAAGGTTTGCCTCATATGCACAAGGCCCTGGGTTCAATCCCCAGTAACCATACATACACACATACACACACACAAAACAAAAAAACATACACATAATGTCAGGCAGGAGGACTACTGCGTGCTAGGCCCTGTTCTAGATGCCTCTTTCTCAATGACCATTAAAGAGGTGAAAGTCCCCAGTTAACACAGGCCTCACTGAATCCTGGCTACACTGTTTGTGAGTTGGTGAGCCCAAGCACAGGACTTGACCTCTGAATCTCACTTTTCTCATAGCAAGCTGCATCACAAGACTTGTGAGGCTTAGTGGGATGGACATTTGTACAGGTCGTGGCAGAAAGAAAGCACTTAATGAAAAAGGAAAAATATAATTATTATAATATCAAGTGAACAACTGTTAAGGTGATTAGGAAAAGAACAAAAATCAACTCATATGAACTGTACTGTTTTGGGGAAAAAAAATGCTTAAAACATAAAATCTATCCTGGTACTGGGCATGGTGGCACACGCCTGTCATCCCAGGGGCTGAGGAGGCTGAGGCAGGAGGATCGCGAGTGCAAAGCCTGCCTCAGCAACTCAGCAAGGCCCTAAATAACTCAGGGAAACCCTCTCTCTAAATAAAGTATAAAAAAGGGCTTGGAGTGTAGCTCAGTGGCCAAGCACCCCTGGGTTCAATCCCCGGTACCAAAAAACAAAAACAAACTATCCTGTTGACTCAGAAATAGCCAGAAACAAAACATAGGTCTATGGAGGTTTGGATGAAAGGAACTTTCTAGCATTTCCAGAAATGAATAAAACAATATTTGAGTTAAAATGATTTGGAAGATAAAGACCAGCTAGCAAACATTTAAGTTTGTGGCTGGGCATGATGGCATGAGCCTGTAATCCTGGCAGCTCAGGAGGCTGAGGCAGGAGGATACCAAGTTCAAAGCCAGCCACAGCAACTTAGCAAGGCCCTAAGCAACTCAGTGAGACCCAGTCTCTAAACAAAAAATATAAAGGTCTGGGGATGTGGCTCAGTGGGTAAGCACYCCCGGGTTCAATCCCTGGTACCAAAAAGCAAACAAACATATTTAGTTTGTGTTTAATAAATTCCAGGCTCTTGCTGGGGCTGAAATTCAGAAAAGAAAACCAACTGGTCACTCATCACTGTTCACCAGTCCCACCTGGTGATTCTAGCTCACGGGATAAGGCACTCTGAAATTTGCTTAAAAGAATAACCCTGAGGCTAGGGTTGTGACTCAGTAGTAGCGCACTTGCCTAGAATGTCTGAGGCACTCGGTTCGATTCTCAGCACCACATTTAAATAAAGGCTCATCAACAACTAAAAAAATACATAAAATAGAATTAGAGTATGATAACACTRTAATGCACCGGTAGAAGAACTCTGTTGCCCAGCAAAATTCCCATGGCCTATAATTTAGTGTTCTCTATTCCTCTTAGAGACAACAGTCCTTTTTCTCCCATCATTTTTAGGGTTATTTCCCATTGACACATAAGTACAGATAATTATGGTGTACGGTAATTATTTGAAATAGGCATACCATATGCAATGATCAAATGAGGGTTATTAGCCTTTCCATCTCCTTAAACATTTATTTATTTACTCTTTATTTTATTTTTATTGGTCATACATGATAGTAGAATCCATTTTGATAGAATTATGCAAGCAGGGACTCTATCTTATTCTAATTAGGACCACATTCTTGTGGGTGGGAACAAGGGTGGGTATTTCATATAAGTGCATAGGAAAATTCTGTTCGATGTATTCTACTATCTTTCCTATTCCTGTCCTATGCCCTTCCTATCTCACAYTGTCCAATCTGCTGAGCTTCTCTTCTCACCCTGTCCCCTTATATTGTGGTTTAGCGTCCACATACCAACAAAAATTGGCGGGTATTTTTGATACCAGGGATTGAACCCGGGGTGCTTAACCACTGAGCCCCATCCCCAGCCCTTTTCATATTTTACTTAGAGACAGAGTCTCACTGAGTTGCTTAGGGCCTCTCTCAGTTCCTGAGGCTGGCTTTGAACTTGTGATTCTCCTGCCTCAGCCTCCTGAGCCGCGGGGGTGACAGACATGCACCACCGCACACCTGGCAGGTTTACAGTTCTTTGCATGAGAAGACAAGGCCAGTTTTAGTTTGAGCGTGAGTAGTAGAAGAGATGTGTGTGATACTCAGGRGTCCCGCTTCAGCCCAAAGTTAAATGGATTCGGGATACAGTGTGTCTTTCCCCACATGTAACATATTGAACACATCCTTAGGGATCGTGYCTGGTAGGCAGCAGATGTCCAGACTGGAAGGCGCTCTTGGGTTACAGCTGAGCTTCTGTTCCAAGTAGCCAAGCTAGCGAGGGCTTATGATCACCTCACCAAACCCCTCTCCTCTGCTAATGGGTGAAGGGCAGGCGGACCGTGGGGCCAGTTAGCRTGAACTCTGCGTCCCATGACATTTGAACGCGCAGAGCCTCCACCTTCGCATTCCATTAAGAATCCTGTAAATTAATGGCCCATTATCCAGAGGACAGGTCTAAAAWCCTTTTCCTAACTGTCAAGGGCAGGGAGCAAATGAGATCATACATAGGGAGCCTCGGAGTCTGTCAGGGAATCTTCACTTTGTCTGAAATGCAAGGTTTGTTTTGGGAATGGAAAAGGGAACCCGGGTCGGCAAGCAGAGGGGCTCTTCTCAAGGGAGAGGCTCAGAGCCCAGCTGCCCGACGACTTTATAGTTTAAATGGGGAAGGAGGGGGTTCAGACTCGTCGGGACTGGCCATTATTTTATATTTCTAGGTCATCTATAGATCTGAAACGGTCTTTATATTTCCAGCAGAATGTGTCTGCTTTTTTTTTATTCCTATCAATTCACAGAATTCGACTATGTTCGATTGGCGTAGTTTTGATTTGCAAGGTCTTATAGTATTCCATTTTTTAAACATACTTAAAGGGTTTTCTTAGGAAATCAAGTTATTTCCCATACAAACTATATGGCTGTAGATATCACTACAATCCTCACTCCTCTCCTCACTGATTTTAAAGCAAATTTGTACATTTGGTGAAGAAATCCAGTTGCCAGAGAGAACACTTTGAGTCTTTTCTTTTTGGTACTGGGGATTGAACCCAGGGGTGCTTAACCACTGAGCCCCGTCCCCAGCCCTATTTTCTATTATATTTAGAGACAGGGTCTCCCTGAGTTGCTTAGGGCTTCACTATGTTGCTGAGGCTGGCTTTGAACTCTCAATCCTCCTGCCTCAGCCTCCTGAATGGCTGAGATGACAGGCGTGGGCCACTGCACCAGCTTGGAGTCCTCTTAGTTCATCCCTTGTGACTRAGGGGACAAAAGCATCTCCTTCCTGTGATCTCAGCTGCATCCAGAAGGCAGAATGCTGCTGTCCGTTACTATCAGAACTGACACTTGAATGCCTCCCCCATTCTCACTGCTGAGACAAACTGGCATAAAGAAATTAACACTAATCATGCTTCCAGGTGATTCTGCTTTCACACCCAATTTCTCCACCATGGTCACAGCGGTAGGAGGACTCCATTTATTGGGGTGACACAAATGGTTTGTCCTGCAGTGCTGTCATTACAGCAAAAGAATACGTGTCCCCCTTCACCACTGTAGACTTATATAGGGTAGGGTTTAAAA